ATCCTTTATATCACTGTCCTAATGTAATCTTCCTTAAATGCCATCCTGATGATGTCACATTTTCCTCAAAAACCTTTAAAGAAATGTCTCTCACATTTATCCTTGGAAGGCAGTGCAGTGGAATAGAAAGAGCTCTAGGTTTGGTATCTGGAGACCCTGATTAGAATCCTGGCCCTGTCACCTGCTCACTGTGGGATCTTGATCAAATTCTCTGTTCTCTGGACATCCATTTTCCAATCAATAAATAATGCAGTGTGTACTAGATGATCTATCTGTAATACTCATCCCAACTTTAAATTCTGTGAGCTTACCTTTCTCTCCCTCTCCATTACCCTGGCCAAATTCAAGTCCTCATCATTTTCCATCTGAATTTTTTCAGTAGCCTCCTTACTGTTCTTCCTGCCCCTGATCTTTCTTTCAATTTGTTTATTTTTGTATTTCAAGTGCTCCATGTATTGTCATTGATGATAAATATTACCATCTACTACAGAATGGGCCAAGGTTTGCTAATGGAAATGGGATTACTTACTCTGGACAAGAGGAGAAATGACAAAACAGTCCTTAATCAGCCAGTTCTTTATAATTAAGCTTAGAATTTAGTTGATAATTTTCAATCTTTTCTTCCAAGGTTCTTCATTAAATAATAATTTTTATTATATCCTGATTCATATAAGACATATTTGATATTTTTTTCTTTTGTGTATTTGTGAGGTTTTTTATACCTTAATTCAGGGTCACTTTTTGTAAAAGTCTCACAGCTGAGAGACATGTATATTCTTTTCTGTTCCTATTCAATAATCACCAGAGATCTATCATAGTAGTTTTTCCTTTAAGTATTTAGATAGTATGTCACTTGGTGCAAATTCATTGTTCTACTTGTACAATAGCTCATTGTCTATGGTACCTTTCACAATAATTCAGTTTCCCTGCTTATTTTTTTTTAAGCAAGTCAATTTTTTGCTGTTAGCTTGTTTCACAGCATGATAACTACTATGCTTTTTTGAGCTCAGGGAAGCATAACAGATTTTTCTCTAGCCCCTTAATTTTAACTTTCTAAATTTTTATATGTAAAACATGTTCCTTATAGACTACATATTGTGTGATTTTTGCTTTCTAATTCACTCTACTAATCTCTTCTGTTTTATGGGTGACTTGATCTAATTTATTTTCACACTTATAATCATTTTGTATTTTCCTCCATCTTGTTCTCTTAGACGTTTTCATCTCATTGCTCACTATTTCCTCTGTATAGAAGAGAGAAGTTAGAGAGGGGAATGTTTGGAAGTCTCCTATTACATTAAAGGTCAATTCTCCCCTCCCCCTATAGGATTATATTTCTTTTGTCAGCTATGTTATTCTTGGTTGTAAACCTATAATTTTGCATTTTCTAATATCTTGCTCCAATATGCCCACTCCTTTACAGTCATAGCTGCTAAATTTTGCGTGATCCTTACTGTGACTCCGTGGTACTTGAGTGTTTTCTTTTTTGATAGTTACAGCATTTTTTTCTTTGATCTGGAAGGTCTGGCTTATGCCTATGATGTTCTTGGGAGTTTTCATTGAGGATTATTTTTTCAGGAGGAGAATTTTTTTTCTATTTTCACTTTGCCTTCTGGTTCCCATACTTCTGGATAGTTTTCTTTCATGATTTATTTTATTGTTTGTTTGTTTATTTGTTTTTTGGCTAGGGAATGGGGTTAAGTGACTTGCCCAGAAGCATAGAGCTAGTAAGTGTCAAGTGTCTGAGGCCCGATTTGAACTCAGGTCCTCCTGTCTCCATGGCTGGTGCTCTATCCACTGCACCACCTAGCTGCTCCTCTTTCATGTTTTCTTGAAACTTGATGTCCCTACCCTTTTTTTTGGGGGGGGTTCTTTCAGATTTCTCCTCAATCTATTTTCCAGGTACCTTTTTTTTTTTGCTTTAAGAATTTTTTTTTCCTCTTTTTTCTTCTTCTTTCTTCTTCTTTATTATTTGGACTTTGTTTTAATATTCCTTGCTGTCTCATGTATTCATTGATTTCTGTTTGGTTTATTCTAATTTTCAGGGAGTCTATTACTTGACTAGCCTTTGAACCTGCTGTATTAATCTGTCAATTCTTCTTTTAAGTCTTTTCTCCATAGCTAAGAGGGTAGAATGGATCAAGCATTGCACCTGGAGACAAGCAGGCCTGAATTCAAATTCAGCCTCAGACACTCACCAGTTGTGTGATACTGGACAAGGTACTTAACCTCTTTTTGCTTCAGTTTTCTGGGAATAATAATAGCATTGGCCTCCCAGGGTTCTTGTGAGCTTTAAATGAGGTAATACTTGTAAAGTGCTTTGTAAACCTTAAAATGATATATGCCATAAATGCTATTTGTAAAATGACTTTAAACTCTTTTAAAAAACTATTGTTTTATTTTTTTCAGGGAATCCTAGTTGACCTTGTATTCAAGGTATCTTTTTAATTGAGACTTTGCTTATAGATATTTGGGAGTAACTTTTCCCCTTGGGTTTGTATTTTGGGCATTCCTTTCTCAATGTCAGCTTTTTTCATGGTAGTATTTTAGTTTTTTCAACATTCTAGCCTTACTTCTTGAATTCGTTATTTTCTCATTTTGCGTGTGTGTGTGTGTGTGTGTGTGTAATATATATACTTTGTTATTAGGGCCAGGCTCTGCACCCATTTGGATCTTATTTGGTCTTAATTTGTGTTCTCTGTTATCTTGCTGCTGGGTTCTCTGAGTATTCATTATCATGTTCTTTAAGCATATGAGGAGCGGCTCAGGATGGAGACCTGCTAACTTTCAGTGTGCCCAAGCAATCTTATCTAGAGTGAATTCTGATCTCTGTTCTTGTTGGGGTTTGACAAGCTCTTGCTTTAGATTTTAGCAACACCATTGCAGATTTGTCCCTAGTCGGGGTTCCAGTAGACTGCTGCTGACCACAGCTCCTGTCAGCTAGCTAAACACCTCTATTGGTATAGAATTACAGACTTGCCCTTGTTCTGAGCTCTCTGCCCTGCTTACTCAGCTGCAAGTCTCAGAACCAGAGAGAGGATGAAATTCCAGCTCCTTGTCCACTAGACAGCCTCAGACGACAGCTGCTCCCACACCCCTCTGCACAAGTCCCCTTTTCAGCACTGATTCTGTGATCTAGCTCTGGGCTCAGAGTGCAAAGCTGGTCATTGGCTCCTCTTGCTGCTCCCTGCCCAGTGCCAGGCTCATCTCTGCTGAATCCCTGACCAGTTGTTACCCAAGTTCATAGCCTGGGGCCCTCATTTAGTCTCTAGTCTTCTTGTTACCTTCCTGGTTAGTCCATGTGCCCAGACTTAGGTCTTTGTAACTATGCCAAACTGGGCAGGAAAAATCACTCACTGGGTTTTTACCTTGGTCTTTTGATCTTTTGAGACCTTTGTTGGAATGGTTTTGATGTGAAAAGCTGGTCCAGAGACCTTCTTTCTCCTCTTCCTTCTGCTAACTTTATTTATCTCTCAATAAAAAAAAAAAATTCTATAAAAGCATTTGTATGACTTCTGCCCACCGACAGCCAATTTCCTATGTTCTCATCATCTAGCTTTGAGCTGAGGCCAATTTTACCTGGAATTGTGGTGCTGAAAATGAACTTTAGATTACCCAGATTTTTACACATTTCGGTTGTCTGGACCAAGTCACAAAGGAAGTAGCGATGTGACGATGGTCACATTAAACGGACTCTGACCCTTGAGTATCAGGTTCAGATCTTACTGGTCTACCCAGTGTTGATGAATGACATACCAACCAGATATGTGTGTGATCATCTCTTCTTCTCTGCTAATTAGGCTTCAGGGACTCCCTTTTTTCTACTGAATAAGCTTTGGTGTTCTTAGCCCAGCATTCTAAACTTTTCACAAAATGGCAGCAGCCTTCTCTCATACTTTCTCCTGGCCATGCATTATCTGCTCAGGCTGCATTGTTCTATATTCTGCACTCAGAGACACACTTTACTTTCCCACCTCTTAACCTTGAGTTGGGCTATTTTTCCAAAGAAACAGAATATTCTCCCCTTTGACCTGCTAAACTCTCCCCAGACACCACCACCACTATGTCCTTTAAAATAAAATGCAAGTGATAGCTCTTCTAAGAAACCTGACCTGTTTTCAGCCCACCTCCCAACTGGATTGATCTTTTCCCACCAGGTCTCCTGAAACACTTTCATTTGTAATCATAGTCTATGTATACATATCAGGTAATATTGTGTGTCAGTTAGCTGTGTTTGGTTTCTGATCCTTTTACTAGACTGTAAGGTCCTTGAAAATAGGAATGGAGTCTTGGCTAAACCTTGTATTTCCCTGCCTGCTTCTAATTTACAGAAGGGCTGCACCTAAATGTGTGTCAAATGATGAATGAACTTGTATTGTACATGACAGTTTCTAAGAAGATCATAGGAGACAGGGATATTGGTCTCCATTTTTACTAAGGACAAAATAGCAGTAAATCGATTGACATTTACTTTAAGTCTCACCACATTCCCTAGAATTAGATTCTTTCTTTGTATGCGCTCTCCAAATTCAACATGAGAATCTGTCCTCCTTAATGGGCCTGAGCATCTGCCCCTGGTATCCCACCTTTGGCCGACCCAAAAAACACTTGTTCTCTGAGGGAAGGGAGAGACCACTTACCAACCACCTTGAGTGTGACATCCTTAGACACTGACAACTTAGTCACATTGTTCCATGGCAAACAAGTATACTTTCCTGAATCTTTCCAAGTTACATTTCTGATGATGTACATGTTATCAGAGAAGTCAGAGTTCATGGTGCCATTTTCTTTCCATTCATACTGTGCAGGTGGGTAAGACTCAATGTGGCACACTAAAATCAGTGGAATTTGACCTCAATCTTCTCCCTTAAAGGGCTCGGAAGAATTCATGATGTGGTCTGGTCCATCTGTGTGAAGAAGAAAGAGAGAGATGAGATGTGAATCATTGTTGGGGAAAGGAATGGAGAGGGAAGAGACTCAGTGTCACTCACAGTTCACAGTCAGGGTGAGGGGGTCACTTCTACTGGCACTGATTGGATTCCAGACTTCACATTGATAGGACCCAGTGTCTCCCTCCTCACATTCTTGATGGTGAGGGTCTGGTTATTCTCAGACAAGTACTTCCTCTCATTGAGTAACAGGGACTTGTCATTAAAGAACCACAGAATGTTCATCCCCTCATGTTCTGTGCTACATGTGAAGACCAAAGTGCCATTCTCTATTATGTTGGCATTATTGGCATTGATGTTAGGTTTGGATGCTGTTTCTGTTGAGAGAAAAAGAAGAGAGAGTTGTGTGAGGGACTAGCCTGTGTCTTTACCAGGTCATGTCTTCATGACAAAAATCACCAAAAGCCCAAGCCCAAATACTTCCATTACAGGCAAATGGCTGTGGTCCCTGACACCACTGGGATAGCCCCTGGTTCAGTAGCTGTGCTATTAAGGAAGGTGAGCAGGAAGCACAGGCTAGAGAGCTGTGCCCTGGGCTAACCTCTCCTCTGCACAGGCAATGCAACGTGCATGATCTAGTGATTAAGGTGGGCATGACAGCAGGGAATAAGCATTTATGAAGTGCTTACTACACACTTGGCACATGGTAGGTGGTATCTAAATGCTATTATTATCCTTATTATTATGATTATTGTTATTGTCAAGCACTGTGTGAAATACTATGTTATCTAATTTCATCCTGTCAACAACCTTTTGAAGTAGAGCTACTATTCTTTCCATTTTACCATTCAGGAAACTGAAGTAGATAGAGGTTAAGTGATTTTCCAGGGTCACACAGCTAGTAAGTGTCTGAGGCCAGATTTGAACTCTAGTCTTTCTGAATCCAGGCCCAGTGCCTCCCTACCCATTCAGGCTTCTCCCTGCCTCTCACCAATCATCTTATTCTAATCCAGGAGTTCCTAACCTAGGATCTGTGAACTCCTTTAAAAAATGTGTTGAAACTGTATTTCAGTAGACTTGTTTCCTTTGAATTCCTATGGATTTTATTTTCTGCATTTCAAAGCATCCTTCTGGGAGAATATTCTGGGAAGATGGTGGAGTAGGTCAGAAAATGTCAAGCTCTAAAGATTTTCCTCCACAAAAGAGATAAAATAGCACCACAGGGCAAACATAGATCGGTGAAAATAAATAAGAGTAGGGGCAGAACAGTGGTCCTTCTGGGAAAATCAGACAAGATCTGAAGAAAAATCCAAGGATAAGGTTTTGTCCTGTGAAGAGTAAGCACCTCCAGGCTAGGGACCACTTTAACAACCAGCAGTAAGCCCTGGGTTACCTGGGTTAGGAGGTTCCCTCAGCCCCAGCCACAGGAACTTTTACCCCAGGGACACTGAAGGGAGTTTGGCATCTGAGCTGGGGAATTTCAAAGGAACCTCTTCTGACAAGGAATGCCACCTCCAGCTGTGCTGCAGAGATATGAAGGGGCAAGAAGGAACCAGCATCCCACTGGTGAGTGCAGAAGTAGTAGGGCAAGGATGCCACTGGCTGTGGGCACTTACAGGAGACTGAGGTCTTGGTTTAGGTTCAAGGTCAAAGGGAAGAACTGAAGGAGGATCTGAGGCCAAGTTACCATCCCCCCATACCCTACGACTAAAGGTAATTACAAAGACTAAACGTTTACCAAAAAAAAAATGAATGCACAGGCAAAGGAGAAAGAATTCAATTATAGAGAGTTACTATGGGAATGGAGAAACCAGGGCTCATCTTCAGAAGAGGTTACTGAGGCAAAGAAAGCCTCTTCTACCCCAAAGAGTAATATCAAATGGTCACCTGCCAAAAAAGAATTCATAGAAGAAATTAAAAAGATTTTAAGAATCAAATGAGACAGGTTGAGCAAAAACTAAAAAAAGTCAAGCACAATCCAAGAAAAAGAAGGTTATGAAAAGAAAGTCAACCAATTAAAAGAGGAGATCCAGAATCTCAAGGAAGAAAACAACTCCCTGAAAATCAGAACTAGGCAAGGGGAAGCCAGCAAAGTCATAAAAGATCAAGAAATGATAAAATGAAATACAAAGAATGAAAAAAGTAAGACAATATGAGACATCTCATAAAAAACAATTGATCTGGCAAACAGATCAAGAAGAGAAAACATAAGAATAATTAGGCTACTTGAAAGCTGTGATCAGAAAAAGAACCTTGATACAATAATACAAGAAATAATTACATTGTCCTGAAATGATAGAACAAGAGGAAAAAGTAGAAATTAGAAAAAATCCACCAATCACCACGTGAGAGAGATCCACAAGGAGAACCCACAGGAACATTATAGGCAAATTCTTAAACCCCAGCTCAAGGATAAAATATTATGTAGCAACAATAAAAAAAAAAAAACTACATGTGGTGGTGCCACAATTAGAACCATACAAGACCTAGCAGTGGCAACACTAAAAGACCATAAGTCTTGGAACACTACACACTGAAGAGCAAAAGAATTGGGTTTCTGGCCAAAGATATCATACTCAGCAAAGCTAAGCATAATCCTGAATGGGAAAAAAATGGATATTTAATGAATGGTCAGACTTTCAGAACTTTGTTATTAAGAAAAAAACAAACCCGAACTTAGTAGAAGATTTGACATACAAGAACCAAGAGAAACATAAGGTATAAAAACCAATCACAAGGGACTCAATAAGGACAGACTGTTTACCTTTTATGTCTGTAAAATGTCAAACTTATGTCTGAGATTGTTCTTCGTAACTGGGTAGTTCATAAGAAAGATTGGGATAGCCCTGACCGTGATGTGACTTTAAAGAGCAAAACCATTCATGAAGAGCTAAAAAGAGCTAAATAAATAAATGGCTAAAATAATTATATTTTATACAAATGGGGTGCGAGAGGAAGAACTGACACAGAGGAATTAGAGGACAGAGGAGGTTTGCTAGTTTTGGAAACCTACTTACATGGGGAATGGGTTTAAGAGGGAATGCTACATATATATTCAGAAGAGTATAAAAGTCTTCTAAATTTAGAATGAAAGAAACACTCAGGGGATGGCTATTGTTTAAGTCTTAGCATTATTCATTTAAGTTTTAGTATTTAAGTTTAAAGTAAAGAAGAGATAAAAAATATAAGCATCCTTCTGAGAAAGGCTCCCTGGGATCCACCAGCCTGGCTGCCCTAAGGGCTCTTTGACACAAAAGAAAGGGAAGCCCCCTGCTCCCATCATTCTCTCTTCCCCAGTTACCCCCTTCATTTACTCAGCTTCTACCTAACTGTGGTTCCAGAAAGTAGTTAATGCACATATTATGATTCTGGGCTTTGTTTCCTCTCCATATGCTGACACTTGCCTCCTCTGGGCCTCAGTTTCCCCATCTGTACAACGAGGGAGCAGCACTAGCTAGCTGGCTTCTAGGTCACTTTCATCTCCAAATGTGTGATAACCCTCCAGGATCCTTGCACCCACTTTACAAAGGAGAAAACGGAGGTTCAACAAGATGATGTGATTGTTCAGACAGTGACTTCTATTCTCGCACCTGAGCTCTCTCCCTCTTTGCCCAATGGTCCTTGTGGGCCTTTCCCAGACAAGGCACCTGAAGGCTCAAAGCTGGCCAGATCAGAGGATCCCGGGTCTCCATCTGGAAGGGCTTTCACCATTATTTAATATATGCCATTATTTTCTCAATGAGAAAAACGGAGGCTTCCAGGGGCTGAGTGACTTGTGCGAAGTCCATTCAATAATAAATAACAGACCTGGGGTTAGAACCCAGGCATCCTGGCTCTCAAGTCAGGCTCCCTTTAGCTCACCCCAAATACGCTCTCTGCAGGATGTTGTCTCCCTATAGACATGGGAATGACTGGCAGAGGAACAGGCCTGAGCTCAGAGTATTTTCCTTTGGGCACCCCCTTCCTCAGGTGCCTTGGGGGTGGGGGGGTACCTTAGAGGCCCCCATGGAGCTTCACTGGCAGACCCAGCCTCCTTCTTCCAAAGTCAGAGCCCCTGCCAGGGTTGGGCTCCCTGTTGGACACCGGAGGCAGTGCTCCTTTGCACAAAACTCTGCTGGAGAGGTGCATGGACAGGGCATCTAATGGGGAGACCTAGGACATCAACAGAGCCCTGCTTGGGGTGTGAGAAGCTTGTGCTCCCACAGGGTCCCTGCAGATCTGAGCTTTATGCACTACCCCTGGTCAAATGAGATGACTTTTTTCAAGAGCTTAGCATGGTGCCTGCACGCAGTAGGCATGCAATAAATGCTTGTTTCCTTCCTCCTCCCCCGGTCCAGCTGTTGCTCCTCCTTTGACCAGCTGGGGACACAAAGAGGTCAGCAGATGCTCTCAGCCCCAGGAGAGATTCTGCAGCATCCCCTGAGGGCTCAGTAGCCTTGGCTGGGATGAGACCAGAGGAGGCCAAGAGTCTGCCCCTGTCTGAGCAGCAGAGAACCAGAGGTGGCAGGGGACATCTGACCCAAGATCCCACAGCTGGCCATATCAATGGTCCTGCAGCCTCTGCCTATTCATGACCTTATCAGCGTTCAGGCCTCTCTTTCCCTGATGGACAGCTCTGCTTGTGGACTCTCCTTATGCGGTGTGACATCAGACCCCCTGTGATGTCCCCATTTGGGTCCTGGCTCTCCCTTGGGAATCACATAGAGCATCGCTGACGTGCTTCCCCAGAAGGGCCCTTCAGTAAGGAGTCTGGACTTGAGCTCTGCTGGGCCCAGCTGGAAAGGGAGTGTCAGTGACTGGGCCCACCCCCAGCAATGTTCCCTTCTGTCTCATGGACTTTGAACAGTCTTGGGGAAGGTGATCTTCAGAACAGGTTGTCTGCCTCAGGCATAACGGGAGGGGGCCGAGTGCATTCTGAGCCTTGAGTGGTTCCTGCTAGTTTCACAGTATGGCCTGGGAAAGCTTGGAGGAGGAAGAAGGGATTTACCCCCCAAATTCTGACTGCCCCTCCCAACCACCCTTATCTCCCAAGGATACCTGGGCTCACAGCCTCTCTAAAGGACCCTATCTAGGCTTAGGGCTTGGACAATAGGAGAAAATAAGTTAATATCAAGCTGACACCCCTCCTCCAGCACCTTCTTTGTCTCTCCTGCCCTCAGACTTCCTAGAGTTAATTAGGAGACTCTAAGGGTCTCTGAGCTTAGCTCACCCCACCCTTGGGATGTAGGCCTTGGGGACAAAGCTAGGATCCCAAAGATCCCTGGTCAAGTCAGCCCACCTTGGCCCTGCTGAACTGGGCCTCCAGGTGCTGCCTGGGGCTAATCTCTCCTAGCCTGCTCCTGTGCTGCCAGGTGTCTTGTTCTGCATTCTCTCTGCTCCCTGGGCAAGGGATTTAGGGGAAGGCTCTGGTCCCAGACCGAGGGAATGATGGCATGGCAGCACTTACCATACATGGCTAAATGTCCTCGTGCTGTTACCATCAGGATGCTTCTCAGATTAAGAAATTGTACAAGGTAGTTGTCAGTATCACTGAGGGTGAGGTTGGAGATGAGCAAGGAGCTGTTGGAGAAGATCTTCTTCCGGTTATCTGCTGTTGTGTGATATCCAGTAGCAACATGGTAGAAAACAATCTGGTTGGAGGGGCCTACTGTCCTTCCGTACCAAGTATAGCTGGGAGCCTGCTCTGAGGACCCCTGGATGTCCAAGGTGATGCTGCTACCCACTGTCCCATAGGGTGGCTTTGGCACAACACTGAAGGAATCACTTTGGGCAGATGTTGGCTGGATCCAGCAGCTGAGGATGGAGGCTGAGAGGGGAGAAAGGAGGCAGAGGTCAGCAGGATCCCCTGCCCTCCTGAGGGGCCCAGGTTACGGAGCTCTCCCCAACATAAGGGATGGAGCTGCTGAGCCTGCCCCAAGGTCTGCTGAGGGCTCAGTGGGGTATGTTTGAAGGAGATTCATGTGCCTGTACATCAATCTGGCAGTACCAGTCTCTGTACATGACCCAAGAGTTTAGTCTGTAACACATTTTAAGTTCCTTCCGTGGACTTGCTTCATAAATGAACTGTCAGTGTGGAAGGTAAGATACTGAAGGGGGAGATGAGTCAATGAAGTGTTATGGTTGACGATAAAAATCAGATCTTAGACCTGGTAGAACTTTAGAGTCACTGAGTCAAACACCATCAATTTACAGATGAGGAAACTGAGGCCCACTTAACATAATCACTATTACCAGTATTAAATAGGAAATAGCAGAGGTGGGATTTGAACCCAAATCTTCTGGCCCAAAACCAGGGAGGGCCTTTCCCACTAAACCCTGGTTGCATTTTAAGGCTGACAGAGTTAACTCCCACATAGCCTTGAGAGGAAGGTGGTGTTCCAGCTAAACACAAGGTAAGAGGGGTAAGTGACCTGTCCATGGTCACACAGCTAGTAAATATCAGAATTATCATCCACACCCAAGTCTTCTCTGACCGTACAGACTAACTTAGCCTCTTCAGAGCTTGCCCAGCTCTAGGGCTGGACGTTAACCTGAGTCTCAGACATGTGGACTGATAAACCCAAGCTGACACTTGCCCTCTGCACCTGGCTCAGAAAAGACACCCCTGGCCAAGTCTGCAGAGACTGTCTCTGGTACAGAGCCGCTGGGACTGGTCTCCTTCCCCCTGGTCCTTACATTGATGGATTTGTCTTTGTCTGGGCTAGAATTCCCCAAGCTCCCCCTGCTCCCCCGGGCTCCAGCAAAGCTGATGTCTCACCTGTAATAAGGAGCCCCGTCCAGGGGCTGTCCCCACTGTGGGGAGCTTTTGAGGGGCTCTCCATGGGTCTGTGCTGTCCACGGTGTGTGACCACCTCTCTCTCCTTGCCAGGAATCTCTGCCTTCCTCTCCTGAGCTGGGTCTGCCCTTTGCACCCTAACTGCAGACCCTGGAGGTGTCCCCGCTGGGGACCAGGCTCAAGGCTGTCCCTGCATGCAGCCCAGAGCTGTGTCTGCTCCTTCTCCTTCTCCTTGCAGAGAGGACTGAGGTGTCTCTCTTCAGGGCTCCAGCTCTTCTATCTGCCAGATTCACATGGGCCCTGCAGGGCAGGGACTTGGCCTCTGACTTTGTCCTCCCTCCCCTTTCCTCCTAACTCATCCCCTCCCAGTTCCTGTGGTTTCCTGGCTCTCCCAGGGAGCTCTTGGCCTGCACAGATCCCTCCTGCTGTCCCTGAAGAAGTGGTTCTGTCCCCAAGGGGAACATGGGTCACTCAGTATTACCTGCTGCTGATCTCTACTTCTACCTGATCTTCTTCCTTATTTCCCTCCCAGAAGAAAGACTCTTTAGACCCCTAAATGAGCACAGAGAATGGTGGGCAGAGGCAATGTGCATGGATCCCTGCTCTGGGCTTCTAGGACCCAGGCTGCTAGCAGCCCCTGTCTTATCAGGCCAGGGGAGAGGACCTTGGGCTTTTGTCAAGCATTTTACTGGGGCTCCTCGGAGGGTCTAACAGGACTGAGGAGAGGGAATAGGGATGACGCAGGCTAGAACTGGCTTCTCTATAGCAGGAGCAGATAGAGCACATCTTCCTCTATCACCACCGCCCGCCTTCCCATTGAGGTGGCTCAGTTGATCGAAAGCTGGATTTGGGGACAAGAAGATAAGAAACAGTCATCACTTCCTCATGTAGTGGGGGGGGCGGGGGATACTAGGCCTGGACTTTTCCCAGATAGAAAAGGTCAAGGAATAGGTGGAAAGAATTGAGAGGCAGCAAGGAGTCCTGAACATGAAAATTCAGATTTGTGGCATTTAAAAAAGTTGGAAAGACATAATTTCTGGGTAATTTAATCATTTTATTAATAAGGCCAACATGTTTATTAATAAAAAGATTTGGCCATCTCTCTCAGTCCAAAGACCCTTCATGGCAGTGGGCTCACAGCTTCTAATCCAAGATTAAACAACAAATATAAACAAAATCAGATTTCCCATTAGGGTAACGCAAGATAGCTCATAAATTACTGCTCTCTACTAACATAACTGACTATACTGAAATCCTTTTCCTTAAAACATAAACAAAAGAGGTTCCTGACTTTAACCTCACAATTTAATCGATTCATATTTTTGTTTCACAAGCTTCTCTACCTTTGTCTAACCATATCATTCTGAAAGAACCAAATTTTATGTGTATGAGAAGTTCAAGCACTAATTTAATTCTTGCTGAGGCCGTGGAATGACTACAAATTAACATCAAAATAGTAAGATTTTTCCGACTTACAGCTTATTACAGTAATTCAGATGCCTTACTATTAGTCTAATAACTAATTGATTTAGCATTGCAATAACAAACTTCCACTGTTTGTCTTCCCTGTTCATGGAAGTTTGCTATGAGAGTTACAAGCAGGGACAGGGTTATAACAGCCTCAAGTATTTTAGCATGTGGAACCAGGTAGACAGATTTCTTGTATGGGAAAATGAATTAAGAAGAGTCCAACCTGAGGCAGCTAGGTGGTGCAGTGGATAGAGCTCTGGCCTTGGAGTCAGGAGGACCTGAGTTCAAATCTGGCCTCAGACACATGATGCTTACTAGCTGTGTGACCCTGGGCAAGTCACTTAACTCTGATTGCCTCATCAAAAAGCAAAAAAAAAAAAGCAGAAGATTGTCCAACCTTAGCCTTCCCAAGGTAACCTCCCTACCTTATTCCCAGGGAAAGATATTCACCAGCCTTAGATCTCAGATGTTGCTTCCAATAAGCTGCTAACTTTTTTCTTAAAGAGTTCATTTAAAGTTGGCCCAAGGACACAACAAACCTGAGGAAAAAAAACTCAAAAAAGAATATTTAGGGTCCAAAAAAAGCTTTCTCTTCAAACAATAAAGTCTCACTCATCATAGTAGGTCTGGACACAATTGTTATCAATACCGTCAAATTATTGCAACAAATCAGCTTAAATAAAGTTTAATAGTCCTTCTAAAAACCACACAAAAGAACAAGTTATGGTATATGAATGTAATGGAATACTATTATTCCATAAGAAATGATGAACAGGCAGACTTCCGAAAAACCTGGACTTACATGAACTGATGCTGAGTGAAATGAGCAGAACCAGGCGAACCTTGTACACAGTAATGGCAATATTGTGTGATGACTGACTTTAATAGACTTAGCTCTTCTCAGCAATGCAAGGAGCTAAGTCAATTCCAAAAGACTCATGATGGAGAATGCTATGCACATTTAGAGAAAGAACTGTGGAGTCTGAATGCAGATCGAAGCATACTATTTTCTCTTTTTTTTGTTTGTTTTTTTTTCCTCATGGTTTTTCCCTTTTATTTTGATTCTTCTTTCACAACTAATGTGGAAATATGTTTAATATAATTATACATGTATAGCCCGTATCAGATTGCATGCCATCTTGGGGAGAGGGGAGGAGACAAAGGGAGGAAAAATTTACAACCCAAAATCTTATGAAAATGAATGTTGGAAACTAAAAATTAATTTTTAAAAATTTACTCAATGGCTTTTTTTCCCTTTTGTCTTCTCTTAGAGTATAAATTTATCCTAATATACAATATGTCACTAGAAATTAAGAAAATAATTACATTCTGGAATCCCATATAGATAGTGAATATGTAATAGTTCACTCAAACCCCTAGAAAAATAACATTGGCCAATTCAGAAAGTTGTAGCTCAAACCCTCAGATGCATGAACACACATATGCTTACCCAGAGATGGTCGGAGGTTAGAAGCAGAAAAATTGCAGGTGGAAAAGAGAGTCAAAATCTCAGCTTATGGCTTCTCAGGAAAGGCCCTGTTTCTAGGTGACAACGTTTCACCTCGTGAGTGCTCAAAAAAAGGACATCTTACAGGAGACCTTAACCAGTCCTGTCTCTTTTTCTCTAAAGTCTCTTCGAAGTCACCATAAACTGTAATCTTTAAAAAGGTTCAAGACACATAATTTCTGGGTAATTTAATCATTTTATTAAGAAGGCCAATATGTTTATTAATAAGAAGGAGGGTCATTTAGTCATCTGTCTCAGTCCAAAGATCCCTCATCCAGTGGGTTCACGGTTTATATGCCCTTTGAAGATCAGGTGTTCCTAAGGGTGGCAATCAGCTCTGATCGGTTAACAATCAATGAGAGAATGAATATTAGGAGGAAAGGATGGACTATATTACAATGAGGGCCTTGGGGTATGTGACCTGGGTCACCCAAGTCTTGGTAAAAGGTGTCTCTCCTTTGCACCTCCCCCCAAGCTTCCTTTTATGTTGTCTTTCTTGTTCCCCCATTAGATTGTAAGCTTGTGAGGACAGGACCTGTCTTGTTTTTTCTTTTCTTTTTAAATTTATGTTTTTCCAATTACATGTAAATTATTTTAAAAATTTTGAGTTTCAAATTCTTTTTCTCCCTCCTTTCCATCCTCTAACCTTAAGAAGGCAAGCAATTTAATATAGATTATACATTGTGATATTTAAAGGGTTTGAGAGACATTATTTCTGGGCAATCAGTCATTTCATTAATAATGATAGAATTTTAATAAAAGAGGTCAGTGGCACTCTTAAAATGCCAAAGACCCTCATGGTGGCAGGCTCAAGGCTTATATGGCCTTGAAAAAGGGTGGGGTGTTCCAGAAGGTGGCAATCAACTCTGATTGGTTAATAAGTAAGGAATAATGAATATTACAATGAGAGGCTGAACTTTGATGATGTCCTTTACTTGTAAATTACCCCCAGCCTTGGGCAATCTAAATAAAGAACCTCTATCTCCTACCCAAGTCTAGGCAGAAGACAATGGGCCTGCACTTTCACCTTAGATTAGAAATCTGATCTAGTTAGGCAGAGCAGCAATACCTAGAAGGAGGAGAATGTTAACCCTATCTTCTATCAGCCTTGCCCTTGAGAGACTGGACAAGGAAATAGGAGGGGGGAAGTTTGGGTCTCCCCAGTTTTAATAATTGGCTGTTAATATGAGAGAAAAACTCATTTCTCTCAATATGTGCAGTGAAGCAAAACATGTTTCCACATTAACCATGTTGTGAAAGAAAACAGACCAAAAAACAAAAAGAAAAAGAAAGAAAGCTTTTTTAAAAAAATGTATGCTTTGATCTGCACTCAGATTCCATCAATTCTTTCTCTAGATGTCGACGTCTTTCATCATGAGTACTTCAGAACTGTCTTGGATCATTTTATTGTTGAGAATGGCTGAGTCATTCACAAGTGATCATCATATAATATTGCTGTTATTTTATACAATGTTCTGGTTCTGTTCACTTCACTTTGCATCAGTTCATGTAAGTCAAGTAAGAGAAAAATGATGAAAACAAAAACAAAAAAATAAATAAAAATTTGAAAAAAGAGAAAAATGATGAAATCATTACTGGTAGAGACACATGGGGTCTTAATGTTTTTCATGTTCTGGACCATTTGCTTGTCAATCTGAAGGAGCCTAAGGACCCCTTCTCAAGATAATATGTTTAAAAGTATTAAATAAAATGCATAGGATTACAAAGAAACCCATTATATAGAAATAGCTATAAACTTAGGATCCCAAGTTAAGAACACCTGTAAGAGGTTTCCTGAAGGGAAGTACATTTGATTTAGGCTTTCTAGATGGGTAAGAACTGGACAGGAAAAGATGGGACTAAAAAGATTATTCAGGCATAGGGAATAGCCTAGATAAATGCCTGGAGACTGGAGAATCCAGTGCTGTTTCTAGTACAATATGGAGGATATAGAGAAGGATATAAAGGGGCAGATAGATAGCAACCCACCTTGACTAGGGCTTAGAGTGGGTGGAGGAGAATAGGGGAAGATGAGGCAGGAAAGACAACCTGGTGCTAGATTGTTGGAA